GAGTTTGTTTCTTTTATGATTGTCATGTATCATATTTTCTTTAGTTTGCTTTCACGTTTTTAGGTGGTGACTATGGTTCCTGAATTTTCTTATAATATGTTTAATAAAAGTATGCATAGGATTTGAAGATTCCATAGACAGATTGAATGCATCATCAAGTGTATCTTAAATGAATATTATGACATTCGAGATAAATTGAATAAAGAAAGCACTGCAAATGAAATCTCTAAACGTGATATAATAAAAATAAGAATTACTATCATAAATTAATTGAAATGACAATTTTAGGATAAAATTAGAAAAAATTACAGAAGAAAACTCTAGAATAGAGCAGGATGTGAGGGAAGGAATAAAATTAGGGCAAAGATGAAATTGTTACAAATTAGGGCAAAAGTAAAATCAACAAAATTAGGGCAAAAATCAAATGAAAATATATGGATTATAGTGATAAAACAATGCAAAGTTGAGAAGGGAGTGAGAGGAAGAAGAAAGTCTGTTAGAAGATAAAGTGAGACAAAGATCAGAGTGTTGAAGAAAATAGATGGATACCTTGATTGAAGATCTGGATGGAAGTTGGACGAGAACAACTTTCCCGACGGTGGCGGCAAGTCAAAAAGTGGTGGTGGCGAGTTGGAGGCATTGTTTTAAATATCGGCCGATAATCGATATTATCGGCCGAGTTATCGGATTTTTGAGCTCTCCGTTAGGATAAGTTGGTTTTGTAATCGGTTATCGTTTTGGAGAGATTATCGGCGAGTTATCAGCATTATCGCCCGATAAGTAAGGCTAAATTATCGGGATTATCGGGATTATCGGCCAAGCATTTCGAGTTGAGTTGTTGAGTTTTTAAAACCCGACCCGTTTTGTTAATAATATGAAACTTAAAACCCGAAACTTTGTGAATCCAACCTTCAAACCCTAACTTCGTCTCTGGCGCCTGCTCCTTTTCTTGTTGGGCGCTTCCTCCATTATCTCCATCTCATGTTCTCTACGCCTCTTCGTCACTCGCCTTCGTGAACTTCAACCTTGAACTTCGTCGCTCGCCTACCCTCTGTCAACCATGTTTTTTTTGTCCGGAAACATGGCTATATACATATGTTGCGAGCTTTCCTTCTCTTGTAATTCCTTCACGCACACACTTTCTCTTTTGAGTAATATCAGTTCTATAACTATTCTTTTATCATACTTTTCTTTTTTGTTTTTCCTGTAACAGAGACTTATATAAGAAATTAGTGAATAAACTGTACATACTTTGCTTTTCTGTTTTGGTATGTTTATATTTCATTAAGCACGGTTAGATTACATTTTTTAGTTGTTATATTATATATATACACCATCCAGTATATTGCTCCGATAAATACTAATTATCCCCGATATATCCCCGATTTTCGCTATCCGATAAAGATTTTGGCCATCCGATAAATCCCCGATAACCGATATTTAAAACCTTGGTTGGAGGTAGAAGTGGAGTTGTTAGGGAGAAAGTTTGAGATCGATTTGGGGAAAAAAAGACCATGGTGAACTCGAAACACCTTTTTGGTGTGTCTCGAGAAACCCGTTTATTTTTGGGCTTTTTGATGGGCCAGCCAAAAAAAAACATCTCCCAAACACGTTTTTTTTTCGAAAAAATGGAAAAGCTAAAAACGCTCCAGTTGCCAAACGTTTCTTAAGTTAAAAGCTAAGAAGTTGAGAAAACCCATTCAAATGTTACAATAACATAATATATTATTAACTAAAGATAATATCTAAATATCATATGAAGTTTTTCACATATGTATTAATTACATGGATGCATGAATAAACATTTTAACTGAAACGTCTAGTGAATAGTGTGCAGTTTTAACTAAATTAATTGGAGGGTCTATTTTGACTATTTTGTAACACATATAACTGACGTGTGTGTGTGTTTGTGTGTGTGTGTGTATAAATTAAGGATTTTTCTACATTAGCCCCTTTCATATTTTGAAATTAGTCCCTCAAATAATTGAAATTGCTATAGGGTTCCCCATTTCTCATAATTTGTTTCAAGGTAATCTCTCCAGTAATTGCCACTTCTACTCTTGATTAAAGAGACTAATTTTATATAAATTAAGAATTAAGGAAACCGTAGGCAATTTAACGATTTGAGGGACTACTTCAAAATATAAAAGATTTAAGGACTAGTATTAATAAAGGTAAACATATAGCACACCATGCTGTCCTTGAGATTACTTGGGCTTGGGCTTAGTGCATATTGTGCCGTCCTTGAGATCAATTGGGCTTAGTGTATTAGGCGAATAACTTTTGAATACATCAAAAACTTAGATGTAGGAGATATATATATTGAACTGCTGCCTAGGTATCATTTGTCAAAGCCATTTGAATTTAATTTCCTATCATAGTTTTAAGTTTCTTTTATTATGTTGGTTATTATAAATTGGAAAGTGCTCGTTTTTCAACTAGATGCTCAAACCACCCTTTTAAGTCATAGTTTTTAACTTGGACATGGATGAAACAACCATACCCATGTCTACGAGTTTTAAAAAAATTGACATTTAAGTGTAGGATATACGTCCAATAAGTGTACGATAAGTATTTTAAATTAAAACATATGTCGTATAATTGACCACATGTCTGGGTAAATGTATGCATACATCCAATTAACGTAGCTTGTCATCCTTCTTTTCTTTTTGCTCAGACATGTCTGGGTAAATGTATGCATATAAGTGTCCATGAAGTTTGGGTATGGATAAGTGCCAGGTACGTGTCGGGTACGGGTTAGGCTTCATGATAGTCATAGAACTACCCAAGTAACATAGCTTGTCATCCTTCTTTTCTTCTCTCTTTCGCTTCACAGCAGAGGGTTGCTTGTTTGCTGAGAGGGGAATTTTGTTGGGGTTTCATAGTGGAAGTGTCTGTACTGTTCTCCATTTCTTTTTGCTCAGACTGTGGAACTTCCTGCCAGAAGATTTTTGCATGTCATTCTCTGTAAATTTCTGGTGATGTTCCCCTTGAACTGTCTTCTCTTTCTCCTTCAGCCCTTTCAAGACCGAAGTGCAGTTATGCATATGATGGTGGATAATTTGTCTTTCTTCAACAATGGTTTTCTCAGCACTTGGCTTCTCTCCTTGGTCACCGGTGGTGTACTTTCTTTTTTCTCCTTTCCTACCCTGCTTCAGTCTGATTCAGTCATCAAAAGACCAACTCTTTCATTCTGTTCACATGTTCTTTGTAAAATGAGACTTCATCATGAGCTTTGTTCAAGGTTAGAGGCTATGGCATGCTTCTCTTTCCCAATCTTGAATTCAACCGTGGGATCAGCCACCTTCTCTAGGACAGTTACTCTATAGTTAATTATCTTTGAAAACAAGTGGGAAATTCCAGGGGAAGGTCTAGAAGCCCCAATGCCCGATGTTGCAGTCTTTCTTTTGGATCGAAGGATCCTCTTGAAAGAGGTCATCCCAATTTTGTCATTTATCACTAGTTTTCTCTCTCCTTCTGGAGCAACTCCATTCTCTGAAAAAAAATTGGTAAGAAGGCAGGATAACCTGACAAGGGCTTTTAGGTTCCTCAAATTGATTTAGGAAGAGATGGGTGACATTTATGGTGTTGTTCTTCCATAGGGTGTACATGATGAGGCATGTTTCCACCTTGATCTTGCTGAAGTGGCTTCCTTGTGGAACCACATTGAAAATAGATATCTTGGAGAGGACTGTGAAGTAATCTGTTGGATCTTCATAGCTTAGACTGCCTTCAGCATAAGGATATGCTCTTCCAAAGAGAATTGGCATGAACTCTTTTTTATTCTAACCCTACATGTCAGTAGTAGAGTTAGTGATGCGGGCTACCTCATTTATAGTCCCTATTATCTTGATCAACAACTCAGTGGAGATTCAAATCTTGATCCCCTTGACTTCGGTTGGATGAAGTCTTTTTGCTTCCATTCGACATGGAGTCTTCTTTCTTCTTCCTTCGGATGGTTGGAGTCTTCTTTCCTACATGTCAGAAGTATTGCAGTCTGCAGTTGGATGTTGTCTCTAATAATTAAGGGAAAGGTTTTTTCCCCCACCTGTCAACCAAACACTATGTTTGTAGTTGACGGATTAGGTTATATCAGGTACTTGTCGCCTTGATAGTAGGTGAGATAAGATGTCTTTATTTGATTTAGTGTCTATTTTGGGACATCCTCCCAAAGAGGCAAAACTGTATGTGTATGAGCACATTCATGCCCGTGTTTCTTTTTTTTGTGTGTGTGTGTGTTCTTGCATGCTAAAGAATGTCAGCATGACTGGAATGGAGCAATAGCCATTTACATGAATGAGAAAAAGGTTCATATACTGCATGCTTTATTGCCTTCGCATAATGATTCTATAATCAAGTTTTGTCATGATGTGAGTTCATCTAACTGGGTTAGTTTATCAATTTATCTAAACATGATACTGAGAAACCAGTTAATCTGCATACAGTAATTGGAACTATTTTTGAGCCTTTATATTCACATATTCAATCCTTTTCCGATAATGATGGGTTCATCAATTAAGATGCCAGCTGTGGTGCATGCTCTGAAGTCATCTGAGCTCCACCAGTGAACCCATGAAGTTTTCGAAACTCTGTTAGCGTGACATTGACCTCTAGCATTTGGTGTGAATATTCTCGGCTGAGCTATTATGAGTAAGAACTCTGTGTATTATCTGGGTGGTTGGTTAGAGGGACTAACTACACTCTTAAGTTGTACGCTGCTTTATGAAGCATGGACATGTCTCATACACATGTAATTGCTCCTTTCCTAGGTTTGTTCTTGTGATCTACTCTTAGTTTGACATGATGAAATCGATTGTTTATCATGGCTTCTTTTCCGGTTTCATGATAAATATTATTGTGTCATTTTCAAAGATTTAATCACCTCCCTCAAAAAAATTCTTTTGTTGATATATTAAACAGACACTAGGCTGGCTAAATTTTGCTAATTCAATACCTGTAACACCATACCAATATGCTTAGCTATAGAATTTTATATGCAGGTTCCATTGTTTTTTGGTGTCACTGCTCTTGAGAAGGTTGCAGCTTCCGTAAGTCATTGGATTTTTAAAAGAACCGGAAAACATCTATTTCTTACTGATAATGATGAAGGAGAAACCCCACTTTTGCAGCGCATGGTGAATGATCATGGGAACATATATTTCATGTGTGCTTAAACTTTTGACTTCATATCTATTGATTTAGCTAAACGTATAAATTACTTTTTTCCCTCTCATAGTATTGTTTGCATAATGTTCTGGCGGGGAACACTTTGCTGCAGGTCTGCACTGGGAGCATTCAAACGCCGAGTAGCATATGCAAACGTTGGTTATGATCGTATCCTATTGAACTAGTTTGGGTTATCTACCATTTTTGTTTATAACTAGTCTAAAATATCTTGCTTTCCTTAATTTAAATGCTATGAAGATATTGTAGGATGGAGAACATCATCTATACGACATAATTCTGAACTGGCAGTGGTAGTCTTGCAACTTTCATATATTTTCACCATTACTAACATATCTTTCTTTACATAGAATCTAGATATTTTATTTTGATATAACCAGAGCAAACAATATGCTTTAAAATTTGTAGATATCTGTATATATACCTAATATGAATCTGTGTATTCTTCTAATTCAGTGGGAGGATTCTTCAAGTAAAGAATATCCACATATTGTACGTGTAGAACATTCAAAAGCAGTCAATGCTGATAAATGTCACGAAGCCTCAGATGTGAGCTGTTACTCTGACGTTTTAGAAGGTAATGATTTTACTGTTATTTCAAGGTGTGTTTACTTTTGGAGGATGTTATCCTTCCTCAATACTGTTCTGAAATTACTCCTGTTATTCAGGACTTTGTTTCATCGTAAATCGTTCCTTTTGCTTTTAAATAATGTGTTTTGGCTCTATCGTTGTTGTTCCTTTCCCCTTTAAAAAAAGTAAGGTACTATTGCTATCTATATTGCATTGGTACGGCTGCAGGTACAGGACGCGGCTATATAAATATTTATGTACACATATTATAAATTGAGATTAGTAACTTATATGAGAAATTAAGGATGGGAACTAAAATTCTGATTACATTTCTATGTTTCTTTTATTATGTGGATTATAAATTAGAAAATCAATGGTTTTTGAACTGGACATCCAAATGACCCTTGAAAATAATAACTCAGAACTTGACCTATGTACAACGAGTTTCAAGAAGTGGATGCGAAGCGTAGGATATATGTCTAGAAAATGTATCACAAGTGTTTTAAATTAAAAAATGTACAACGAGTTTCAAGAAGTGGATGCGAAGTGTAGGATATATGTTCAGAAAATGTATAACAAGTGTTTTAAATTAAAAAATGTATTGTATAATTGTGCCAATACCCAAATAAATATATGCATATATGCAAGCAGCGTCTAAGGTGTATGGGTATGAGTACCTAGGTAACATAGATTGCTATTGTCTAAAATATGTCGAGGTGTACAATATGATGCAGGACGTGGACAGTCAATCAAAAGATTTTAAGATCTATTAGAATAATTTTTATTTTAGTAATACTTGAGTTGTCCATGTAATCATTTATTTTAGTTAGGATTTATTTAGGATTTGATTTTAAGATCTCTTTCTAGTTTAGTTAAGGCTTTATTTGATTACATCTTTTAGTTTTGTTAGGTTTTGGTTTGATTAGGATTTTTACTTGCTTCCTTAAGTGTTTAGCTACTTTTATTTTTTATAAATAAGAGATGTAATCCTCCATGAGGAATAGACATTGATGAATAAAATTTTGAGTTTGAGAAATTCTCTAAGCATGTGATTTGTTTGTTCTTCGGCATGTGAATGTCATTTTAGGGTGTGAAGCCCTTGCATGTGAGATCCCTAGGTGTGAGATCTAGTATATATTAAAACTCTCATTTCAATTATCCTTCTCAATCAATCACTCTAAAAGAATCCACAGCATCCAACTCAAGCCAATATACATGAATAAATCCTAAAACCCCATAGTCGGAGTACTGTTCAGGAGTGAACAGCAACCATCCACTGTGAGGCCGCATAAGCACTATTTCTTACTATTCATCATGGGTTAGGACATCATTTCACCAAGCCATCAACGATTTTCCACCTCCAGACAGAAGCCCTCCGCTCGGTCCCCATCATTTGGTTAAAAAGATTTGGTATATGAACTGAAAGATCTACAGTTATAAGGGGTAAATATCACTATCTCCTTCATCGTCACAAGGGTATGATTTTAATCCACTTAAATTTGGTACCCTAGCCTATTTTTATGGATTTGATAGATATGAGCAGCCTTACGAATTTAAAGTCTGGATTTTTAGTATAGAAATGTTTTTTTTTTCCTATGATATATCAGAACTGGAAATGTATTTATATGTTAACTGTAGGTTAAAGAGAGGCTAAAAAAATAATGGTATAGAAATTATTATCATTCAATTCTCTGTTCATCGGAATTTATGAAAGCTCTATAGAAATTATTATCATTCAACTCTCTGTTCATGGGAATTTATGAAAGCTCTTATGGAAGGAGGTACTCTTGTAGTTCATCTAGAAGATATTGTCTCTCTTTACAACCTAAATCAAAGTCAACATGAGCTTCAACTGCAACTAGATATGGACTCACAGACGAAACTTGAATTCAATCTAGAGTCAAAGTTTTAACTAAAACCAGAAGAACCAAATAAGAAAATTAACTAAGAGTTCAAGCTTGAGCTGGAAGAAGAATCGGAACAAAATATTGAAGTAGAGCTAGACCCTGAGCAAGAGACGCAACTTGAGCTTGAGCCAAAAGCTGAACCACATCTAAGAACTAATTCAAAGTTCGAGCCCGAACAAACCTGAATGAGAGCCAAAACTTATGCTAGAACCGAAAGTTGAGCCAAATGTTGATCTAGATCCACAACTTGAATCAACTTTAGAGCCCAAAATCAAATCAAGCCTAGAACTCGAATTTATGATCGACATGCAGTGCAAACTCCCCGCCTAGGCTACTCTAATTATGAAGTTCGTTATTCCATACGTTCTACCATCAACTTAATGTCAAGTTTTACTGCTCATCTTGAAGATCCTGCAATCTACGAAGGAACTCTTCTCAACAATCAAGTTAAACATTACACTCTCCCACCATAAAACTTGAGTTCAAGTTTTCTCTAACAATGGGAGGTTTGATGCAGAACAATTGTGAACCATTCATCAAAAGATTTTAAGATCTATTAGAATAATTTTATTTTAGTAATATTTAATTTTGATTCCACGTAATCTTTTTGGGTTAGGATTTATGTAAGATTTGATTTTGAGATCTCTTTCTAGTTTAGCTAGTATTATATTTGATTGCATCTTTTAGTTTTGTTAGGTTTTGATTTGATTAAGATTTTTATTTGCTTTCTTAAGTGTTTAGTTGATTTTATTTTCTATAGATAACAGATGTAATCCTCCATAAGGAATGTTGAGTTTGAGAAATTTCTCGAAGCATGTGATTTGCTTGTCCTTTGGCATGTGAATTGCCCTTTTGGGGAGTGAAGTCCTTGTGTATGAGACCCCTAGGTGTGAGGCCTAGTATCTAACAAAACCGTCTCATTTCAATTATCTTTCTTGATCAATCCCTCTAAAAGAATCAACAACATCCAACCCAAACCAAAATACTTGAAGAAACCCTAAAACCCGTGCACTGTTCATCATATGAACAGTGACCTTCCTAGTGTTCATCATGGATTAAGACATCATTCTGCTAAGCCATCGATAATTCCTTGCCTCCAGATAAAAACCTTCCACCTGGTCCCCGTCACAATAGCTAAAAGTTCTGCAGAATATCTGTTCCGAAATATTGCCGGCTTTCTTCTTTGGCAAGTCAGGTGTTTATTTCTTTCTTTTGAGTAAGTATGCGACTACTTCAGAAGTCAGCAGTATAGTAATCATGCCTATGTTTCACATCTGAAGCTCTTAATGCTTAGCCAGCCCATCCAGATTTCAGTAAACAATTGAATTCATCAGTAGTACTTCAAAGATCTACCGCAACAAGTAATAATGGATTCCACCCAATATGATTAGTCATTCATGTTACTATTGAAATATTATATTCATATCTAGAGCTTTGACAACTTCTACAATCATCAGCTTACAGTTTAAGCTAGCTGCTATAGAAGCCATTGACTCGTCCCTATTATCGTGTGACATTTCTGTTATACGATGTTCATTGCTGTTTTTCCCAGTCTGTTCCTGTTGAATGGGACAGAGAAGTATATTTTGTTTTTGGGACAAATAAATAATCAAAGTGCCCATTAGTTTTGGAAGAGCAATCCCGGTAAAAGTTTCGTATAGTTGCTTAGTTGTTGTCGAAGGAAGTTTGGCCGTACTACTTCTAGTAACGTGTTATCATATTATGGAAGGACATGTATCATGGAAGAAGGCCAGTATGAATAGTCGTTAAAGAAAGCATAGGGGACTACAGAATAATGGGATTCTGCATATGCCTGAACATAATGTAATTATACTGATTGGATAATGCTTTAAGGTTTATCTATTCTTTCTTGAGCTTTTTTTTTCTTTAACCAACGCGGCCATAAATACCTCTGCCTTTACATTTCAATTTTCATTTTTTATTAATATCCAAAATGAATTTAAGCATTTCAAGGATCGCTTCATCATTTTATTGAATGGATAGAGAACCAATCTTCTGATTCAAATCTTGTAGCACTGGCCATTATGTTTGGCTGAAGCTTTATATGTATATCAATGTTTTGGTCTTTTCATCAAATGTTTTGCATTATCCTCTTCCTAGTTTGTGAATGGAATCATTTTCTGCTTTATAAATATTGGCCAGCAAGCCCTGCATATTGGCAAATGTGTTGGTTTTGAGGAAGGCTGTAAGCAGGAGATAGAGATACCTTTTGTACAATTTCAAGCCAGTATGGCCGTTATCCACATTTGACCTCTCATGTATCACTCGCTTATTGTACAAATTATCACCAGACATGCAGTGATATGGCTTAAGTAATAGTTTTGTCATTGTTAGCTTATTTGGTCTCATTTTTAACTTCTTGTCTAAGTTGACAGCAGCAAAGATTTGGAGTGAGAATAAAAAGGCTTTGCTGTGTTTGTTCTTATATTCTGCATAACTTATAATAAATTATGTACTGATATGCCTCATCAGATATAATATGTTGTCCCAATGATGAATTTTGTGTGGCATTCTGTACCCCCATATTTAGCTTAAACTATTTTTCATTAGGTAGATGGTGTATAAGGTAGCGTTAATTGCAGATAGAAGCCCTTTACTATAGCGGTGCAGCCCTAAACTTTTTTTATTGGCACTTACAGCCCCTGAATCTTAGAAAGCCTTACTTTTGCCCTCAATTTCGAGCTTAATTTAGTCTATTTTCCAGTGAAACTAAGTGCAAAAGGTAATTTATCATCACATGATTCCTATGTGACGTCTAAACCCAACTTGGAAACTATTATCGCCTGAAAGTCATGGGGGTGTAAATGCTAATAAAATAATTTAGGTGGTATAAGTGGCTATACGGCTATACCTTCACAACGTGGGTTTTATCTGCAATTAATTCTTTAAAATATCATAATTAGATTGGCTTTATCAATGTTGCAAATATATGATTTGTATCTTTGCTCATTTTAATTTTGTAGAGGAGCTGGTGACAGGCCTTTCAAGGGTGTCATGGGAAAAAGTAGATGTTAGCTTCCAGAGCAGTATACAGAGATTTGTTGCTCACAATGCCATTCAGGTCATTTTTTAAATACTACTGGATAATGATACATGTGATGTGATGAATGCCATTAATCAATCAATACCATTGTGTTTCCATCTGCAGGTTCAATATGCTTTTATGCATTCAGAAGGTGCAGATGTTATACAACACATGATTGATCATTTTATTACATGAGGTAGCTCGCATTTAATTATGTACGCCAAGCAAGCCTTCTGAGCTCAAAAATTTGTCAAAAGAATGCCTGGACTTCAGAATTTTTTTCCGATTCTTTGTTGTTGTATTATATATGGTTGAGTGTGATATATGTGAAATTGATGAATTACTTGGGAAGAGATGAAGATGTTCGTCTCTTTTGACGCCATGTTATTTACGGTCATAAAGAACTTACCCTCTGTACAAATAGGCCAGCCTAGTTACAATGTTTCACCATAGATCACGAACAAGAAAAGGCTAGCCGCTAACCTGTTCTTGCAAAACTATCACATGGGTCCGAATCTGTTGTTTCATCAACAACGGAAGAGAGCTATGACGATTATGGGAATTAACGCCGGCGTCTGCTATCTGCACCGAGTACCGAGCCTTCAACTTCCGGAGAAAAACCGGTGAGGCTTGCAGAAGTTTACCCTTACAGAAATCATACTCGCATGAACTTCTTACGGTTTCTCTTTTTATTTGCTGGTCCCAAATAATCCCTTCCAAACACATTTTCAGGAAAGGAATTTCCCTCCAAAAAACCAACCACAAAAAGGAGGGAATCACGCTACATAAAGTGGTCCTTGATGAAGGGATCGGAAGGTGAAAGAGGAAAAACATACCACACAAAGCATTCGTGTTTAGTAGTTTCATAAAACGAGACGGGAACAAGTACGCTTGGTGTAAAATTTAGCAGACGGTTCCAGATGCTCTGGAGAACGCCTCCCTGCTTCAACCTGAATATTTTCTGGTAGAAGACGATCGCAAAGTGAACCTGCTTCGTACAAAAAAAGAAAAGCTTGTATTACATAATCTGCCAAGAGTCCCATTGGGATATGAGAAAATACATACTGACAGGCATGCTTGCCTATTTTAGCAAAGAGCCTATTCGATAATGATCGAGCAGGGGGCAGCTTTTCGGTTCCACCTCGAAAACCTCGCTGGGCTGGGGGTGCTCGTCCGCTCCGAAGCCATATTCGATAATGATCGAGCTTCGGTCTAGATTGAATCAAATGGAAACAATCCCCGACGAGGAAAGACCTTGGCTACATAAACGAAGCCTTGGCTGATCGTAAGGAACACGGGTCGTTTCTTTATTTAATTTTTTTAGAGTGCGTCCTGGGAATAATAAGTATCCCCGAGCGGGGCGGAGGCAACTAATAATAATAACCTGGTGCCGTCCGCCAGCTAGCAACAAATTAAAGTAGCACGCACTAGCCTGTGACCCGTCAATGACGCTGCTAGGGCCAATTTTTAAGATTTATCTTTAGTCGGCCAAGCCTTAATTGGCCCAACCCCGAGAACTCGTGTATGTATCAAATAGTCAACATCCATTGGTGTATTTGCGTATTATAAGTTAGCATTGACATTAGATCAATTTACAATTAGATACCTCATAGTCTCACTAACTTTGCACTCGTATGCCCTCAATTTTTTTTCCTAGCATTAATTTATATGCCCTACGCTGTGTAAAATTGGCACGCTAGTACCCTCTGTTGTGCAAACGTGAGAATTTCCATCTAAATATTCCCATGTAACATCAGCAATGCTAAGTTTATAACTTCCTAACCGTCGTTGCTTTGTTGCATATGATGTTAAATTTATTCAAATTCTGTTTTTAAAATAGAATCGGAATACCCTTGAATTAGAATTTGGGAAGGGTTAATCGTAAGTTTAACAAATATTAATGGTTAAAAAGCTCTACACCTAACATGTGTGAGTGTTACTAGGGAGTAATCGGATGGAAATTTTAACATGTGCGTAATAGAGGGTGCTAACATGCCCAATCTTAAAGAATTGTTTGCCAAATCGAATGTCAGTTGAAGAGTGACGACTTAGTAACTTACGTTCTTGAGAAAGATGTATTTAGTTCGGACACCCAGCCACATATTTCATTGCATGTATCTTCTCGTCACTGATGCACGGGAAATGGTGCCAAGGAATTAACGTCCGAACGCAAATCCGCCCGCAGCTTCCGCATGACTTTTTCCCGTTGCATCTCCTTTAGAGCCCCCGCATTACAGGCAGCACTCAAGGTTTGCCTCTTCATGGCTCGACAACTACGTACGTGTTTACCTCCATACAACCTCTCTTTCCTCCACCTGCTCTTGTAAGCTGCCAACAAGTTTCTAATATGCACTGTATCTTTTGATGTTTTACATAATGTAGCTATTTATGTTGCTTTTTTACAATTTTGTCATCAAAATAAAGACCATATTAATTAACATCTGAAACCCAAAGGTCCCTTCGAGGTTATTCGTTTTCATGTTTTTAGCATCATCAACTCAACTCTCACTTTAGACTTCAATTAACAAGCTACAACAAAAGTTGTAAGTTATGATACATTTTTTTATCTCAATGCGATACTTTTTTGTGTCGCACAAATAGAGCGCGACACATATTAAAAGTGTGGCTAGAGCATGTGTCGAGAGCTTCTTTCTACACATGTGAGAATGTGTCACAAAACTTATGACACTTATATATGCCGAGAGTGGTGACACATACATGTGTCACGAAACCCGTGACACATATATGTGTCATGGCTAGTGACACATGGTAGCGTTTAGAACATAAACATATAAAGAATATCATCATTCAAGACTATAATCTCTCAGAAGGTCACCCATCCTAGAATTACTTTACTATGAAGTTTTTTAGCTTATACACTATCATAAATATCTAATTATCGTCATAATTAAAATCTAAGATTTATTATTTAAGCCCACATAATTCATGTTAGACTATTAGGTTTTTTCAATCATATTTAATTGTATATCTAGTGACACAAATATGAGTCATGAATTGATACGCTTTTTATTTATTTCACTATTGTTTAATCCTTTGCAAATAAAATGACACTTCTATATGTGTCATGAAATAAGTGCAGACATGTGCAACTTTTGTTGTAGTGACATATCAAACCTAATGAACCCATTTGTTTGAAAAAATTAGTTTCTTTGGCTCCAACTAAGCGCTTTTCTAGGATCTCTACCAGAATCTTAACCGCTTATACAGCAAAAATTTAACTTGTCCAAAAATATTAACGCTACTCTACATAATGAATACCTTCCTGAGGGTCCTTTTGACAACCTAAACCATACGGGTTTCTTTCCTTCAAACAAGAGAGTATAATGAGAAGAGTTCCCTTTAAAGCATTCTAAACTTTGAGCATGTTGCCACACGAGTGCAAGAATTGTAGGGCCCCAAAAAGGTAGTAAACAATTATACCAACACCCACAAGATCAACACAAGACAACCAATCTTCAAGACCCAAGTTATATCTGATAACTTTCACCAAGCATTACGAAATAGGCAGAGAAATAAAAGCATGCAAACAACACACGATTTATACGTGGAAAACCTCTTCAATGTGAAGAGTAAAAACCACGGGACTGGAGGAGTCCACCACTTCTTCTCTTATTATGATAAGTTGAGGGTAAAAGAAACCCAAATCAGTCTTACAAAGTTTCACAACCCACCAACAGGCACATACATAAGAGATTCATCATTTGAGGAACAAAAGTGAGAAATATCACCAAAACGCAGAGGTTCTGTCCAGTTGCAATACTCGACGAATCAGAGCTCACATCGACGATCCAACAGTTCAGATTGAAGCCCTATGTGTCCCTAACAAGCTGACCAAGTTTCAGCAAAATCAGACCATGATTGCACCTTGATCGGACAACTTGATTAAGACTGGTCCTAAGAATCCGAAAAGAGGCAGCCACTCTCCAACTCTCTAGTTTCCTCTCTTTTTTGTGTGTGTGGAAGATGATCAGTCCCCAACAACCTTTTTCTGACTTATTGGGATATAGCTCACCCTCCCACAAAGCTTCTCCAAGAAGCTACAAACATTACCCATAAAATGGGCCAAAACAGATAAGTAAGTTTTGGGCTAACCAAAAATTACAAATAAAACACTTGCAAATTAATATTTGCCACAAAGTGGGCTGGACCCACAACAATCTCCCCCTCCAGCCCATCACGGGGAAGACACGATCACCTCGATGATCACTTGAACTTCATCCCCGCAAGCTTACTACAAAGCACAAGCTTGCTTCCAGGAACTACCTTTGTCAACATATCTGCACCATTCTTGTCAGTGTGAACTTTCTTCAGCTTCATTTGCTTTTTTTTCAATCACATCTCGCAACCAATGATATCTAACATTAATATACTTGGTACGAGCATGATACATTGCATTCTTGCTCAGACCCATGGCACTCTGATTATCACAGAATACTACATACTCACCTTGCTTCAAACCCAACTCTCGAAGGAACCTCTTAAGCCACAACATCTCTTTGCTTGCTTCCACAGCTGCAATATACTCCGCCTCAGTGGTTGACAATGCTACACATTTTTGTAGCTTGGATTGCCAAGAAATGGCTCCCCCTAAAAAAGTAAACACATAACCTGAGCTAGATTTTCTGTTATCAAGATCACCTGCCATGTTTGTATCAGTATATCCTTCAAGAATAGGCTTGCCACCTCCATAACACAAATTCAATTTGGAAGTGCCTCGCAAGTATCTGAAGATCCATTTCACTGCTTCTCAGTGAACCTTACCCAGGTTGGATAAGTACCTGCTCACTAAACCGACAGCATGTGCAATATCTGGCCTCGTACATATCATAGCATACATCAAAGAACCAACAGTAGAAGAGTAAGGAATAGATGACATAAATTCCTTCTCCTTCTCTGTTGTAGGACAAGCTTTCTTGCTTGGCTTGAAATGTGTTGCTAGTGGTGTACTTATAGGCTTGGCATGCTTCATATTGAACCTTTCAAGCACCCGTTAAATATATTTTTCTTGTGATAACCAAAATTTTCCAGCTTTCCTATCACGAGCAATCTCCATGCCTAAGATTTGCTTTGCAGGGCCCAAGTCTTTCATGTCAAATGACTTGGACAAGTCTTTCTTCAAATTTCGAATCATCTTTGCATATTGTCCAACTATCAGCATATCATCTATATATAAAAGAAGGATAGTGAAATTACCACCTGGGAACTTTCTGAAATACACACAAGGATCGGCAGAAGTTCGTTTATAACCATTGCTTGTCATAAATGAATCAAATTTCCGGTACCATTGCCTTGGTGCTTGTTTAAGCCCATAAAGACTCTTCTTCAACTTGCAAACAAGTTTCTCATTCCCTTTTTCTTCAAATCCTTCAGGTTGCTCCATGTAGATCTCTTCGTGCAGGTCACCATGCAGGAAAGCAGTTTTTACATCAAGCTGCTCCAACTCCAAATCAAGACTTGCAGCTAAACCCAAAACGGTTCTGATAGAGGTCATCTTGACAACGAGAGAGAAGATCTCATCAAAGTCGATGCCCTTTTTCTGGTTGCATCCCTTAACCACCAATCTCGCTTTTCGCTTCACTATCTTCTCACCATCTTTCTTGTTCTTGAACACCCATCTATTTTTCAAGACTTTCTTGCCCTTGGGAGGCTTTACTAGCTCATATGTTTCATTCTTTTGCAAGGAGTCCATCTCCTCCTTCATAGCATCGAGCCAAAGATTTTTCTCTTCAAGAGACAAGACTTCTTGATAGTTCTCCGGCTCCCCTTCATCGGTGACTAGAACAAACTCTGAACTTGGATATTTTTTTGAAGGTTTGCGCTCTCTGGTTGACCTTCGAACCTGTGTACCCTCCACTTGAGGGGTATGTTGCTCCCCCTGCTCATGAACCTCTTCACCATGAATTTCTTCCTCCACTTGAGGGGTATGTTGCTCCCCCTGCTCATGAACCTCTTCACCATGAATTTCTTCCTCATGATGCTCTTCTTCATGAATTTCTTCATCATCTCATGAACCTCTTCACCATGAATTTCTTCCTCATGATGCTCTTCTTCATGAATTTCTTCATCATCTGATGAAGACCCAACAAGATCATCATCTTCATCATTTTCTGGTACATTACCATCTGGTTGTGCCTCACCCTCATCACCATCAGGTGTCGCCTCAATAACATCATTTGTTGGCTGGTCAATAGAAGGTGCAGAGGAAGAAACATCAGTAGTATTAAAGGACAACTCCGGAGTAGAAGTGTACCTGGTACTCAGAAGATCTGCACTCATCTCGTGCTCAAAAAATACTACATCTCTGCTTCTTACTACCTTCTTCTTTTCTGGATCGTATAGTCTAAAACCCGTGCTCAAAAAATACTACATCTCTGCTTCTTACTACCTTCTTCTTTTCTGGATCGTATAGTCTAAAACCATACTCTTCATCACCATACCCAACAAATACGTATAGTCTAAAACCATACTCTTCATCACCATACCCAACAAATACACACGGATTAGTCTTGGAATCAAGATTTGATCTTTGCTCTTTCGGTACATGCATGTATGCCTTGCATCCAAAGACTCTCAGATGTGA